AGCTTCGTGAAGCCGTTGCACAATGTCCTTAAAAAAGAAAAATCAAAAAGAAATACAACAAATCAGGTGAAAATAACCTGCATTTGTGCTTTTATTAACCAAAGAAAAACTTGACCCACCGTTTATGATCCAACAAAGGCAAACCTTCGCCTCTCAGCTCGTTTCCCTCTAAAACCGGAGCAGACTAGACTCTAAAAACCACTAGTTGCACAAACCCTTGTTACTATAAGCAACTTCAGTTTGAGTTGTTCTTTTATTCATTTGCTATAATCTACTTAATTTACACCTAAAATCCAAAGGCAGTATGTCCCTCAGAATATTTTTCAAGGAGACACCAAACTCTGAAAGAAAGTCTGTTTAAAAAAAAATAGAGAAAAATAAATAAGTGACTTTGGTACAAAAAAAAAAAGTTCTGTTCATGTTTTGAAGAAGTAAACTTTGCGTTTCCTACTGAGAAGTGTAAATATGTAGAAAAAGAAGAACAAACGAGAAGCTGAATGCGTATAAGCTGATCCATATGCTTCTAGTGACCTCTGGTTATTTTAAAGAATATCTCATAATATCAAACAACCAGATAATAAAGTAAAAATACACAGGAACAGCTCGTTTTTCTGGCTTTTCTTAGTGATATTGTTGAAGTAAAACATGACATTTTGTGCAGGACAGACTAAACAGATTGAGCTGTCTTTGCTTGAAAATATCAAACCAATCCAATGCTGCAACAACAGCAACAAAGAGGAATCGGTCTTCTTTGATTTTGTAAGTTTAGGTGGCATTTAAATTTGAAAGCCGACTGTGGGAAAATTATCTGATCTCCGATTACACAATTTTAAAAAAAGAAAATCCCCTTCAGCTCCTTCAGAGGGATGAATCACCCTGAATGTCCAGGAGTTAATCTATAAAGCAGATCGATCAGAGCTTCATTGATGCTGAGGAGCTCCGCTTTGCTTAGAGAGGGCGCTGACTCATCCGCGACTACGGACTGCAACTGCGTGCGGCTCTCCACCCAATTAGTCCGGTGACTTTTGAGAGGGGGGGGGGGTGAGAGGGAGCAAAAAGAGTAAACAGCCGTGTCCACATTCAAGAATTTACTTCCAGCTGCTGCTAGCATTGTCTGGATCTAGACGCTACGGACTGACATGACAGCTGTGGCTCTGCTGCCCACGTCCATCTACACCACCTACATGTGTTCATGGTAATAACCAGACTCCAGTGAGACAAAGGAAATGCCTTTAAGATGGAAAAGGCCACAGAACACTCCTCAAGGTAAACGCAATTGTTTCAATTGTTAAAAATGTAATGAGATAATCTACCGGATTAAAAAAAAATTCCTGGATAAACATCAATATGTGATGGGAGCACTGTTTCCATCTGCAGTCAAATCCAATCTAGGTTCTACCTGCACCCTTAAAAAAACAAAAAGGTATCACACATTTTAGATTTAGATTAGATCTGTGCTTTTCCTGAGTTAAATCCCTCACACATTTAGAGACACCCCTAGTAAACACACACATAAAACATCCAAAATGAATCCCTCCTTATCTGCATGTTGCATAAATTCACACTGAAATTTTTAGGAGTAATCCAACCGTTATTTTGAGCCCATAGAATCAAGAAGATTTGCAATTTCTGGAATCCCTAGCAATAGAAAAACCATCTTTACTTTTTTTTTTAAGTTTAAACATATTTTAACATATTTAAACTTTAAATTAGAACATTATTACAATATTCTATTTGCTTCTCTACCAAACTGGAATCATTTAGTCCAGACCTACTGTATCTGTAAAATGTTCAACTTTACTGCAGCTGTGATGAAATGAAGGCAGAGATCATCTTGCAACCAAGCAAAGGGAGGAGGATGGAAAGAATGTATCACATATTTCTTCATTTCATTTGGTACAATCATTTTTGATACCATTAACAGAAAAATAACAGCTTAGAAAGACTGCCAAGAATAAACACTGCAGTCATTTTGTCTTAAAATGAGTTCAATTTTTTCCATGAATTGAGGAGGTAAGTGAGACACTTTGCCATGAAAACAAGACATTTTACATTTCAAATAAGAAAAAGCAACTGAATTATCTAATTATCTTATTTTAAGAGTTAAAAAATATAATTTCATTGGTTAATAATCTCATCTACTTGCTCAAATTAAGAGTAAATGCACTTTATTTAAGACATTTTTACTCATTTGTAGATTGTTTTTGCAGTGAACTTATTACAATTATTTTACCAAGTTAATAAAACTCCTTTAATGTAACTGTTTAGAAATTTTAGCTTTTAAAACAAAAAGGATAAAACCCAGACATCAATCAGTGACACAGGCTGTAATCATAGACTGTTATGTAAATTAAAATATTGTAAATGTCATGTCATCAGTAATAAATAAAGTTATATTGCAAGATCATAATGTTGAATAATTGTCCAACCCTACTAAAGGCCGATTTTAGGAAGATTTTTTAACACAAATTTAGTCGGTAAAAAAAAAAAAGCAGAAAAAGAATGGGATTATAAATGTAGAGCGGACAAATTTAAATGACTGCTTTTTTAGCCGGGGTGTATATAAAAGCGGAGGGTGCTGCGGTGCTCATTGATTGAAAAATGTTTCTTTCATATTTTTCCTCCTGATTTGTGATTAGTTGCAATCACATCGGTGCTCAAACTGATTCAGCACAGAGTCATTTAACTTTCCAAGGTAAACTCAAATTGATGCAGAGGGTGTTTTTTTTTTTTTTGTCTGCAATCTGGTTTGCCGTTTTTGTGGCATATTAAAACCAGGAAAAGCAGCTAAGAATGGTTTCCTGGTAACAACAGTGTCTACAAGCATGATTGAAGCTTGATGCATTTATCTCCAAGAAACCAGGCACACTTCTGCTGCCTCCATTGTCTTTAAGTGAGCTTCAACTCGATTATTAGAAGTCTATTCCATATCTTTATAAAAAAATAAAAAAATAATAATAAAAAAGAAAAATTGGGGAAAGAATATTGGAGATAATCCTTCCGTGGGATTGTTTATCATAATTGTGAAAAGCAGGTGAAATAATTCATGAGCAAACACAGATGCAGTGATTTTTAAGCGCCATCTTTTTTATGATGAACCTCTTTCAGCAAAACCTTTTTTTAGTTTATAACACTCTCAGATTTTCACAGTTTACTTCCGTAAACTTATCATAATGAAAGAAAAGTAGATGAATCAAAGCAAGTCAAAAACGTTCCTTTTCTGCGTATATCTTATATGAAAACACCCTTCACACTCTCGCACTGAAACTAGGTCTGTAATAATAATTACAGAGACGCAGAAACAGTTGAGCAGCAGTCAACATAGCAGAAAATGTCAAACCTGCAACAGTGCGCATAAAGTACAGGTGCTGGTCATAAAATTAGAATATCATGAAAAAGTAGATTGATTTCAGTAATTCCATTTAAAAAGTGAAACTTGTATATTATATTCATACATTACATACAAACTCATATATTTCAGATGTTTATTTTGTTTAATTTTGATGATTACAAATGACAACAAATGAAAATCTCAAATTCATCATATCAGAAAATTAGAATATTGTGAAAAGGTTCAAAATTGATGGCCCCTGGTGCCACACTCTAATCAGCTAATTAACTCAAACCACCTGCAAAAGCCTTTAAATGGTCTTTCAGTCTAGTTCTATAGGCTACACAATCATGGGGAAGACTGCTGACTTGACAGTTGTCCAAAAGACGACCATCGACACCTTGCACAAGGAGGGCAAGACACAAAAGGTCATCGCTAAAGAGGCTGGCTGTTCACAGAGCTCAGTGTCCAAGCACATTAATAGAGAGGCGAACGGAAGGAAAAGATGTGGTCGAAAAAAGTGTACAAGCAAGAGAGATAACCGCACCCTGGAGAGGATTGTGAAACAAAACCCATTCAAAAATGTGGGGGAGATTCACAAAGAGTGGACTGCAGCTGGAGTGAGTGCTTCAAGAACCACCACACACAGACGTATGAAAGACATGGGTTTCTGCTGTCGCATTCCTTGTGTCAAGCCACTCTTGAACCACAGACAGCGTCAGAAGCGTCTTGCCTGGGCTAAAGAGAAACAGGACTGGACTGCTGGTGAGTGGTCCAAAGTCATGTTCTCTGATGAAAGTAAATATTGCATTTCCTTTGGAAATCAAGGTCCCAGAGTCTGGAGGAAAAGAAGAGAGGCACTTCATCCACGTTGCTTGAAGTCCAGGGTAAAGTTTCCACAGTCAGTGATGGTTTGGGGTGCCATGTCATCTGCTGGTGTTGGTCCATTGTGTTTTCTGAGGTCCAGGGTCAACGCAGCCACATACCAGGAAGTTTTAGAGCACTTCATGCTTCCTGCAGCTGACCAACTTTTTGGAGATGCAGATTTCATTTTCCAACAGGACTTGGCACCTGCACACAGTGCCAAAGCTACCAGTACCTGGTTGAAGGACCATGGTATCCCTGTTCTTAATTGGCCAGCAAACTCTCCTGACCTTAACCCCATAGAAAATCTATGGGGTATTGTGAAGAAGAAGATGCAATACACCAGACCCAACAATTCAGAAGAGCTAAAAGCCACTATTAGAGCAACCTGGGCTATCATAACACCTGAGCAGTGCCACAGACTGATCGACTCCATGCCACGCCGCATTGCTGCAGTAATACAGGCCAAAGGAGGCCCAACTAAATACTGTGCTGTACATGCTCATACTTTTCATGTTCATACTTTTCAGTTGGCCAACATTTCTATAAATCCTTTGTTTTTATTGGTCTTCAGTAATATTCTAATTTTCTGATATGATGAATTTGAGATTTTCATTTGTTGTCATTTGTAATCATCAAAATTAAACAAAATAAACATCTGAAATATATGAGTTTGTATGTAATGTATGAATATAATATACAAGTTTCACTTTTTAAATGGAATTACTGAAATCAATCTACTTTTTCATGATATTCTAATTTTATGACCAGCACCTGTATAGCAACTCATCTTTCAGGCCGTCAAACAGTAGTGATTCACTCATACACACACTCACACTCACACACACACACACACACACACGTGTGCACGCGCCTCTTTATGAAATCTTCTGATTTGTTCTTACTTTCTAAACACTGATTCTCTTCTAAACACGGAGGTAAAATCTGCTGACTTCCACTAGTTGTGCTTGGCACGAATCCCTTTTAAGTAGTTTTTCCAGCGCTTCACCACATCCCTGAAGATGGGAGCGTTGTCTATGGATGCCAGCAGCTGCAGCTGGTTAATGTGCGTGGTGTGATAGTCCCAGCGGGCCAGGTTGGGCGCCGTGCCCAACATGAAGTGACGCAGATCGTAGATGCTCCCGGACCCCGTGTCAAAGAGGGGCAGCATGGCCTTTAGAGACTCCATGCCGCGGCTGAACAGCTGACCTGCCTCTCTGCCCAGAATCTCCCCTGCTGTCTCAGCGACGTCGTAAAGCCCCAACAGGGAGTAGATGAAGCCGTTGAGGACGAACGAGCTGGGGGTGGTGGGGTACTCTTCATACCAGTCGTACTTGTTCATGAACACCGCTTTGACTCCGTGCTGCGCTGAAGGCACCTTATATGGTCCTACTGCCTTGAGGGCAGCGTTGAGGTAAGCATGGTTCTTGGTGAGGAGGTAGGCTCTCACCAGGGTGGACATGGCCTGGCCCTGAGCCATGGCCGAGTACCAGCCAGGTTCCAGGGGCCGGAAGCCCTCGCCCAGTTTTCGGGTGACCATGATGGGCCAGCCGCCTCGCTCGTCCTGGTTGCGCACCAGCCAGTCGCTGGCAGCGAAGAAGGCAGCCATGTGGGCAGTGGTGGAGATGGTAACGTTGTCGACAAAGCCCCGTCCATGCAGGACTAACCGCAACACCCGTCTGGGCATGATCTGAGAGGAAAAGCAGACAAAAAGTCATGAAAGAGTCAAGTGCTAATTTAATCATCCTATCCTGCATCTCTTATATATATAAAATAGGTGTAAACAACTTCATTATTTATAACTGTACTATTATCAAAGTCAAATTAGAAATTAATGCTTAGTAAAAACTAATTTTATTAACAACACATGTTCACTGAGTTTTTTCTTTTATAGTATCCTTCAAAGAAAGAAGGGATTTCTTTACATTTTTAGAAAAGAAAAGGAGAAAATCGCAGTTGACTTTATTATCATTATTAATAATATTTACTCTCTGACAAATTAGGTAATCCATACTTATAAAAAAACATTCAACTTTATTTTCCCATTATTACATTTAAACTAAAAGCTGTTTTAGAAAAAAATTATAATTTCTCTGACTTAACTGAGACCTGCTTTTGTTTACTGTCCCATTGTTTTCTTATTTAATGTACTCAATACTCAGACTTTGTTGCTACAAATTCACAAATAAGGGCTTCCTACAATGTAAAATATTATGCATATATTCCACACTTTAAAGTTTTGAAAACTTACATTCATTCATACTTTTGTATTCTGTAAGTTATTAAAAAATACTTATACAACAAAGTTTCTCTTTTTGTAAAACAAAAGATTGTGGATTATAATAATAACTTAAGTTTTCATCATTTAAGTGATGAAGTTTGGGTAAAAAAAACAACCTTTGTAGCTCTGACAGCCTTAGTGTTTGACAATCCGACTCCCTTCCTGAGATCGGTCATCAGGTCTCTGGTCAACGTGCTCCAGGAGGAGCGAGGCCCGATGCCGTAGGTAATGTCATGGTCTTTAAAGGCGATGAGCTGCGTACTGGTCTGGTAGTGGATGGTGTAGGGCGGCCCCTTCTCTGTGGTTTCTAGGACGACGGACACGCTGCCATTGGAGGTGAACTTTAAGTCCAGGCTGAGGATGAAGTCTTTCAAGTTGCCCAGCTGCAGAGAAATGCCCTCTGAGGACTCTGTGAGAAGTGTTGGGGAGTGATACAGAAAGGGTGTCAAAGACAGACAGAATTAGCTGAGATTTTACTAAACACACACACACTAACCTCACTTGACTTATGTAAAAAGGCTTCTAACAAATTCTAAAAGGCTATTTTCAGCAGACTGACTCCAAGCTCTTTTATCTGCATCTTTTAATGCACTCTCCTTTCTTGGTTTATTTATATGATCTTTCTTCTAGTGGAGCAAATACTCCTCCCACTAGCAGAAGATAAAAAAAGAAATTCAGCAGGTTTAGAAATAATTTATGGTCAAAACCTTTCCGTCTTTACCAGCAGGTGTCTTGTACTATTATCCCCCATATCAAGTGCTTTGCTGTGTGTGTGGGACATAAAAGGAGGTAAAGCCCAGCGTGCACACGCACGCAGACAAGCTTCTTAAGGGATATGAACTACAGATGTGTCCCTGCACACTGAGATCAATTAAGAGTATGTGAGAAAAAGGGCTGAAGAGCAAAAAAGAAACACATAAAATCTGCTGGAGTGAATGCGAGGCAGTGTTGTAACTTTTCCAGCTGCATTTTTACATTTCTTCCCTGCAGAGCCCACAGTTCAGTTTTCATGCTCATGCTCCGGCTCTGCGCCGAGCGAATTGCTTTAAAGTCGGTTTAGTTCAGGCGGATAAGTTGGCGCCAACTTCCCTTCAAGCCCCTAAAGCTCAAACTTTTTCTAGAGGCAGCCCTCTGTTGGCCGAGCTCCTTGGTCTTCAAGGAGAAAATGAAAAAGATTCTTCTGCCTAATCAGGGCTCCCCAGACGATAAAAGATGAGAGGATTCAAAAGTGAAGGAGAAGGAGGCTAATGGAATGATGGGTCACACAAACACTGCTGAAGCCAGCCAAAGTCTGGAGAAGGTGAAAATGAGGCAACAGAGAGCAGACAATTGGGAATCAGAAGACAGAGGGATCTCGCATGACAGAAGCTGGGAGGGCAGAAGCTTATGAGTCCGACCGAGACACAAAGACAGTCGATCAGCAAGAGAATGAGCACAGAGACAGTCTGGCAGGGGCCTCTGGATGACTACGGCTCTTTAATGCACTCATAAATCCATTACTTAAGGCAAAGCAGAGGGTAAGTGGATTTGTACTCTGGCCCTGTGATTACTCTGCCATCAATAAAGGATGGGCAGGGAATACAGACGAGATTCCACCTCCACCGCTCAGCTCTGTGGCTGTTTAGCAATCAGTTGGGAAACAGAAATGACACGCTGCTGGGAATACGTCAGCGCAAACTGGGCAGGGGTACGTTGGTGATAAAGAGATCTTAAAACATACGCAGAGTTAGGACCGGCTGTGCACATCACGTGGCCAAAAAGCGTGATAAATAAACTGGTGATGAAAACGTTCATGTGATCATTTATTCACGACCTCTGCTTTTTTCACATCTTCACAGTTCTTAGAAATTCTTCATCAAAGAAATGATCTTTTATCCTTTTATTTTTAAGGTTTCAATCTGTCTTTTGGTTTAAGTATTTTCTAGGACGTTACATGAGACTGCTTGTTTTCTACAGATAATCCAAGTGTTATTTCATTTGTTGCATTATTTCAATCAGTTCAAAGCAACAATGAGTACTTGAAATAGTTTCTTTTATTTTATTTAGAGTAAATACAAATATCTGTTCAACTAGTGACATGTCAAGGATATACTCTTTTTCTGCCTCTTACCCTTAAACCAATGGAGATGGTTGGTACAGAAAATAATCTACCAATGGAATGAAAACTTTTTTCCTCTTAAAAGAAGATAATTAGATATTGCACATTTAACATAAGATGATGGGACACCCTACTCATAACAGACGAAGAATAGAAGCAGATCTGTAAATTAGAGTGGAGAAGCACCAAATCCAACACTTGGAGAAAATATTGTTGGAAAAATGTCAAAAATGCCCAAAAAGTTCAAAAATATTGGAAAGAGATTATTTAAGTAATGCTATTAGGTTTTAAAACCCCAATTTTGCTTGATTTAAAAATTTAAATTATGCATTTAGGATACAAAACTTTCATAACTTTAACAAATAAATGGGATACTTGTGGAATATTACGACAGAGTACTAGGACCGGGCTTTTTCTTTTTAATTTGCAAATTGAAATCGCTACGAGAATAAAGACTTAAAATTACGAGAATAAAGTCGTAAAATTATGAGAATAGAGTCGTAATATTATGAGAATACAGTTGTAAAATCATGAGAGTAATATTAAAATTATATTACGTTTATTACATCATCGTAAAATGCTTTTCATGTTAAGTTATACATTGGCATTGTTTTGACAAATAGGGAAATCTTTCAGCACCAGCATCAAATTGGGCAGTATGTCAAAGTGAACTCAGGTTGCTGTTTGGTGGTGATGGTCAGCCATGATATGCTGGTTGATTCTCACCGCTTTCCTTCTGAATTGGGTTGCGGTATGATGACTTTATTCTCTTAGTTTTTCAACTTTATTCTCATAATTTTATGACTTTATTCTCGTAATTTTAGGACTTTATTCTCGTAATGTTACGATTTTATTCTTGTAATATTACAACCATATTCTCATAATGTTAAGACTTTATTCTCGCTTTAAAAAAAAAATTCTCTAGCCTGCCCATAATACTCGGTTTTAGAATATACTACTGTCAGTAGTGAGGAAAACTATCCTAAACAAGGAAGATGAAGCATGAACTGACCGTTAAGGAGTTGAATAAGATGAGCACAGATGGAAGATGAAAAAACTGATTATGATTGTAGATGGGTGTATTATTTAAACACTGGTAGAATGGGAAAAATATGCTAGAGCTAAGAGAGTCTAAAGTATTTTTTACTATTTCTAAAATCCATTAATCTGTCTCAACTTTAGCTATTAAGTAATTCTACATGTGTTGCCTATCTGTTTTCTACGGTGGCCCAGAGGTGTAAGGTCAAAAACACAAGCCCCAACACAAAAACTTAAGCAACAAAGGACGTCCCACAACCTGCAACAGAAGTAACAGTGCCTGCTGTTCATCTTGTAATTAAGGATCTAAAGATCATACTTGTTAGCAGCGTTATGAATGGTTAGCCCCACTCCGGTGTCTGAATCAGTGGTCCGGACCATAATCATGTATATAAATAAATCCCACACTGACAGGATACAGTGACACAATCTTGGGGCGGTTGACCGCTCCCCTCAGTGTAATTATATACGGTAGGATCAATGAAGTATCAAAGTATTTAATCCAGTGGTTCTCAAAGTGTGGGGCGCGCCCCCAATGCCATTGCAGGGGTGGCGCGGGAAGCGGTATGGATGAGTGAAGAAAAAAAAAAAACAGTGCTTGCTTGACTGAGCATAATGGACAGTTGTGACACTGAAACCCAGATTTGAGAAGATCTGCAGCAACAAGCAGGCTCACTACAGCCACTGAAAAGATGGGAGGATTAAAGTACAAAGAAAAAACTCTCAGGGAGCTGTTCAATGTTTTCACTCCATTTTGGACAGAGGCTTTTTTAATGTATTGATGATAGCAAAGTTAAATATTGTTACAAATAAAAAACAAACAAATATGTTTAAAATAACACAGACAACAAAGAATCCTCTTCTAATCTACAGTATAGAACTATGAAAAAAATACAGTTACACAAAAGTGTTCCACTGTAAAGATGGTGTGTAGTTTGTTTTGTTGCAACCTGAAGTGTGAAATGAACTTCAGTGGAGTTTGAAAACAAAATATGTATATAGGTTTATTATATCTGGTTGAACGATGTGTGTGCCCAGTTGATTTTTTTTTTTTTTTTTGGGGGGCGTGGACATTGTATTGTAATCCAAAGGGGGGCCCAGAAGAAAATCTTTGGGAACCACTGATTTAATCAATCGTAACTCGCTGAATACCATCCATCACGCATTTGTGTTACAAATCTTATAAATACGGCTCTTAAAGCATGGTCCAGTGTATTTTTATATTTTACTGGAGTTAATAATAAAATATTATATGATGTATATATTTTGCAGAACACTCACCATATTTGTAATATTTGTAACATGAAATATCTGGTCTACCTGGAAAGGGGAGTTTTTGACTTGCTCCCATTGCTTTGTCTCCGGCAACAAACGTCCAATTGTGCATGCAACAACAACAGGGTTCAGTTTGTCCTGTATCTGTGAACCATTCACAAACTCAAAGCCCAAGTAGTACAAGAAGCCATAGGGAAGATTGTCTCCCATTGACAAGTTACAGCAGGTTGCCATGGAAACTCTGGATCCAGGCTGTTGGGAGAAACCCTGCTGACCATTTCTTAGGCAATTCCCCCGTTCTACTTTGGAGTCAAGCAATGAATCCAGTTTTATTTGATCTCATTACATTGCAACAAAGATAAAACTTCACTGATGTCACACAGGAGAAAATCACATTTTTATAGTATTTTATAGCATATCAAATTATAGGACAAAAATAAAAATACTTGATTTTGCAGTTAAAAACTTAAAGCCCATTAATCAAATGGTGTATAAGTTATCTCAAAGGGGAAAGAAAAGAGTATTGTGATCTGAATCAAATCAAGAGCATTTGTTAGTAGAGTGTTGGTTCAGCAGCTTTGATTAAATTCCCCTTATGTTTCCTATTCGGGGCCAAACAACAACACTTTTTTTGCTGCTTTGGCAAATAGATAAAAAATTTTAACTCCATCTCTTTCCTATAAAGCTCGTATTTTCCCACAGTGATTTAATGTTTATTGATAGCGGCAGCCTGCATCATTCCTGTGCTGGATTCAGATTGCTTAATGACGCACAAGGGATCTGATACACGCATGTAACCCAGTATTACAGTTTTTGATGTCATCTTCACTGTAAACTGTTCATCCAGCTACAGAGCTGTCAGGGTTGTATAAACAAACTGTTTTTACACCCGCTGCCTCACATTTAGCGGTCCACCAAGTGGGACAAAGCAGGGTTTAGTACTGAGAAGCACACAAACCTACCATTGTACTTAGAATATCCGTAAAAGTTTGTCAACA